GGCAAGACATCCACATTGCCAAGAATAAATGTACAGGGGTGACTGTGATAATGTGGTAATGTGGTACTGTGCCTTCACTTGTATTCAAACTGTAAAACATAAAATTCAAGTTAATTAAAATAAAGACTGCCCAATTATTTTTATATGCAGAATACTTCAGTTTGTGGTGTTGTTTTATTAGCATTAGTGTTTGCATTGAGACACAAACAACTCTTTTTCTAAACACAGAATAAGTATCAAGTATTCACTTTATTTGTGTACTTTTTAACACACTGTCAGTGACATCCACCTGCAGTTTCCTGTTCACTGACATATTTCGAAATATTCATTTGACGACTGCAAAAACCACATAGAGATGAAATTGGATAAGAAGTAGTCGCGATAAGAGAAGTTGCTGAGTGATATTATGCACAGAGCCTATTGTCGGTCTACCCCAGAGTAACTGTGGCTAGAGTACTACTATTTCCAGTAATATCGTGCTGGGGGTGTTCTACATCTATGTGTATGGCGGAATGTTCATCAGTTACCGTGATGACACAATGCATACATTAACAAGCACAGCTAAAAAGGTTTGAAAACTCAAGAAAAGCTTAGGTGTGACTGTTGGTTAATGCTAGTATGTGAATATTTTTTGAAAGAGGCTTGTTAAGCTCAGCTTTAAAATCAGTTCATCTATTGTATTTCCAACTAAGTGAGTTCTTTCAGATTCTTGGTCAGATTGTGTTGAAATAAAGACAGATCAAAGAGCCTCAGACAGAGCATGCCTACAGTTAGCATCACACCCCAGGAAATGTTGATGACATCAGCCGCAAAGTATCAATTAAATGATAAAAACCTGAGAAGATAGAGCCACAAATGTACCAGGACCTTCATCCATTAGTGCCTCATGTCATCAGTGCTGATGTCAAGTATTGAATTGCTGTTGGTGGGTTTTTTCAGGGCATTGGCACAGTGTTGCCAGATCATTACTGGTCTGCCTGAGGACAAGATATCTTTGCCTTCAATTTTACAACCACAACCATAACCTGGGACCATGGGAGAAAGCTTTAGACAAAAGTGTTCAAAAAGAACCAAAAAAATCTCAAACATGCTTACAGTTATTTGTTTTTATTTCAATAGATACATTTTCAAGTATCCTGCAGTCCTTTCTCTTTACTCAAATACTAAATACACCCCATTGTTAAATTCATGATCTTACTTTTTCTCTCTCAGTGAAACTTGAGAGCAGCTCCACTATGAGAAGTTTCTAAAGCTTTTGTGTTCCCCCAGGTGTTTGCTGAACATGCTTAAAAAGACTGCTTTATAATTCTTTTACGATACAAAAAAAATGTGAACGCATTTTTACAATGTTTTGTGACAACGAATCCCTACAGGCCTGGACTGTGTCAGACATCAGCTCAAGGTTTTAGATTTCAGATTAACAACAGTGAAACTTGTTATAAACCACACAATATGTTCACTCTGTAAGCCTATAAATCTAGTTTCTCAGAAGGGACTGTCAAAAAATCTCCAAGAGGTCAGTTATATAAAAGCATTCATGTTAGTGTATTCTCTATGAGGTAAGAGATCTCTGAATAGACTAGTTACAACTGAAGTAGATGATCTCTTGTTTGTCGAGAACATGACTACACTTGCTTATTCAAACTGATAAAACTGTACATTTGTTTGTGCTTCCATGTGTTTTGTTTTCAAAGATTTCAACAGAGCCAATGATACTGCCTAGGGTATAAAAAGGAAAACATTTTAGTGACCTGACGATGACCTGCAGAAGAGATAAGAGGAACTTTAAAGACAGGAACAAGTAAATAGGAACTGGTTTAAGATGCAGCTGTAAAGAGCTTCTGGTTATACTAAATGAGAGTTCTGAACTAGTTTAAGTTCTCTCCACATACCAGCACCAGTCGGGTAAAATAAACATAGCAATAAATAAGTTCAAATAGGCTAAAAATAAATATAAAATATAAAATAAAATACAAATAATTAAAAGGTAAATGTCCTATGCACTTAAAATTGACTCTTGTGAGCCTTAAGCTATGTTGTAATGTTGTTACCTAATCAAAAACAATACCTGTCATTATGTTTTGTTTCATTCACACGTTTGAGTAATCCTGCATTACTAGTCTGTCTGCATCTCCGAAGTTCATAATGCTCTGCTCCATGTCATGTAGCAGTTAACATCTTTTACTATTAATTCAGTAGAGATTGGCAATTCCACAGCTGAAATTATGCAGTATCCATGATTCTAGTGAAGGAGTATGGAGTTAAAAACACAATGGAGCATTTCCTGAATTACACACAACATTACAAGGTCGACCTTGAGAGAAGAAAGCCTAAATATGCAGGGTTTGTGTGTTAAACGTGTGTGAATGAAACTAAGCACAACTGTAGGTGTGTTTTTGATGAGGAAACATCATTATAACATAGATCAGAAAATGACGTAACATAAGCCCATTAAGAGAAAAATAGCTCCACCTGAAGGCGTAGAAATGCACACTATTTGTTTTTGTTTACGGAGTGGTCTGAGGAGGTACTTTCCCCAGCCCTCACACTGCTTTGCCATCTGCTTTCAGTCAGAAACACAGGACAACCAAGAGGGAGCTTTCTTTGAAGGTTCACCTCTTTCTTTCTATGAGATGAGTATTAATTAGCATACTGAACTAATAAACCCACAAGTGCACATGGGGTTTCATTTTTCAGTCTGATCACAAAGTAAGGTTTGCATCACCAATTTATATGGTAAAATTTCTGTCAATATCAATCAAGAGACACATGGTCAATGATACATTTGCACAGATATATAAGATACAGTTGAGCTTATTGAAGAAAACTTGATGAATGCATATATAAAAAATGTTGGATCCAAATATACAGCTCAGGCATTTTAACTTAATAATAGTGATTAAAATTTTTGTTGATACGTAAACATTTTATGTATGCATTATGAACATAATGATTGGTATGAAGAACAGATTCCATTATAGGTTGTCATGAACTTTCTTATCCAGATCTAAGTTGCACCAAAATAAACCCATGACCAATGCACATTTTATAGATGTTTTAGATCATGGGGCTAGCTTTAAGATGGGGGTCACAAGATGATCAAGTACTCAAATATATGTAAATAAACCAGTGATTCAATGTTTTGACACTATAATTTAGTGATGTGATGTTAAAGAATGAGTTGGCTCTTTGAATGTTTCCTTAATGTGAACTGTTGGATCGGGATAACATTTTTTAAATGAACTGAATCTGACTCTTTCTAATTTGTATGCATTTTTACAACGATTAATGTTAAACCAATGCAAAAATCAGCACAGAAGCAGAGTAGACGGCGTTTGTGAGAGCTTTGGTGAGTTACTTTTAAAATAACATTTTATTTAGAATTTCATCATTTCCAAAGGTAAACACACTCCCACTCTCAGACTGAACCATTTTAAACAAACCTGAGTCTTAGCCATTTTGCTCTGTGATTAGTTAAATGAGTTCTCACACTCACGTCATATGAATAAAGTCACTCTTTTGAAAGGCTCTTTGACATCAACAGGTCCAAAAGCATTGGTTCCCATAAAAGAGCCGAAAGTCCCATCTCTATTAGAAATTATAATTCACGTCAATAATATTTTGTGGTGGGTTTTCAGAGTTGTTCACATGGTCATTTTGAAAGAGGCTTACAGTGAAAACTTGTAGAATAGAGAACAGAGCATTTGGAGCAGACTTTGAGCCTGGAGCATGCTGTAACACTACCGGCCTTGTGCTGAACAATGAACTCCGTTGTCCCCATTTTTCTTTGTCATGACTTTTCCTTGCAGTTTACCACAACACAATTACCATTTAAACACAGATGTGCCAATGAAAACAATGTGGTGAGCCTAAAGACATAGTGTAACATTGACATAATCTAATGACAGGACAGTAACGTTTTAATCAAGAAAATACATTCACTTTTAGTATAAATATGAGTGTAGGTGTAATTTGAGGCATATAAGATAGGTCAGGCCAGAAATTGCCAGGTTTATGAGTTGGGCTGACATCAGAAAACTATGCTAAGTGCTCCACTGCTCTGTAATAACATCCACATGATCAGCCTGTAGTTATAGTAATACTGTTATAGCTACGGTCTGAAATGTTAAAGACAAGCCCCACATAATCACAATGCGTCAACAATACAAAACAAACAAACAAACAAATAAACAAACAAAACAACTGTTCTTTTGGTACTTTGCAGCTGATGTCATCTGTATTCCCACAATCTGACCAGACAGAGTTGAGTTGTTGAAACTACAGCAGGTTGGATGATCTTTGCTGTTAAACAGTCCCTCTCACATAACATTACACTCACAAGGTAGCTAGTATTAGCCAACATCTTAAAACCTTTTTGGAAGTGTTTCTTAATATATACATTATGTCACAATAATAATTGCTGATCATTCCAACATACACATACATGTAGAACACCTCCAGAGTGATGTCACTTGTGCATTCAGATTAAGTGAGATTTAGCACAGCACAAAATATTATTTATTATTAAGTTCTTTTTCAAGATGTGCTGTTGAGTTCCTATCTCAAATTCTGAAAGTAATTACAAAAAGATAAAAAATTTAAAAAAATTTTTTTTTTTTTTTTTTATGTAACTGTACGACGTAAGATTATGGCTAATTGGCTCATGTCCTGCTGTATTACTGTGAAGAGTTCCCTCTAGTGGACATCATTGGAAATTACAACTTCAAAGTAGCTCTTGCTGCACCATGTAGGGGCTATTTGAATCAATGTTTTTAAGGTGCCTGTGAACTATTTCATTCTGGCACCATATAAGACATGTAATCACAAATGGCTGTTTATTCATGATTGGAGAATTGTTTTTAGTTGTAATTATTTAAAATTTGGAAATAAAAATATTTGTGAACAGCTGGAAGGATAGATTAAAATACACAGATCAACAGAAAAAAATTGTTCAGAATATGGGACAATATCATTCAAACATGAGAACGGATCAGAGGGAATTCTTGTCTTTAGTGGATTTTATTGTCACAAAACTTTCAAAACAAAACTCGAATACAAAGCAAATGCTATTACACTGTAGAAATATCACATTCAAAAGATCTGTCCTTGGTTAGACATAAATAAATGTGCAAATAAATATAATAACAAGGGTAAGACTGTCTTTGAATTTCCAGAATTCTGTGTCTGGTAAAGTATGTTGTCCACATGTCCTGCATAATTATTTGTACAATACAGAATCAATCAAATGTATTTTAAGTGAATTTTAGAAACACTTATCACTGAAGGAGTCTTGATCAACAGTTTAACATGGAGTTAGCTCTGAGGACGCGGATGACTTTTCTGGAGTTGTAACTGTACTCGTATTGGATATGTTCATGGAAGAAGTACAAGTAACCTGAAATATAAAGTTAACATGTTAGCAAGGATTCATTTTTGTGTGGAAATTTTTGTTTTGTTTGTTTTTGTTTGAAATATGTGAAGCTAAATTGTACCATAATGATAAGCAGCAGCATCCACTTCATCACCCATTCCAGGGAAATCAACCTCTATGGAGTGTGGGTAGCCCTTGTCCATGCTGCTTGAGGCTTCATCATAGCTGTGAATAAAGCAATGATATTAGAAAAATAACATACTAAACATATATTAAGCACATGATTGTCACTTGTAATTCAATAAATTCAGGATAAATATGTTAATGGAATAAAAATGGAAAGCAATAACATCTCTATGGAGACAGCATTAAAGTAAATAGTAAAATACTTTTATTCCAATATTTGCAATTTTATTTTTTCCCTTTCCTTTTATTTAGTCCTGATTCTGATCCTGACCAAGTTGTAATCTGAATCATGGGTTAATTTCTAGATAATTACATATAAGTTTTTATTTTACCATTTGACATAAATAAGATTCATAGTTGCCTAGTCCATCTCTTTTTTCTTTATTAGCATTTTTTTAAGCCGCTTTCAAAGTTTGACAGTCATGGATTGTTATGTATAATTTTCAGGCTTGCTTCTGAGAGGCACTTTTATGTTGTAAAAGTTGTGATTGTCCTTGATTACCTCCAGTATTCCTCTTCAGTGAAGAGCAGAGTCTTTCCAGTGTCTTGGATGTGCACCGCTGCGTCAATTTTCTTGACTGATTTTGGTAGTCCAAGCTTGTGAATATATTTGGGGTAACCATCCACAAGGGTATATCCATTCAACGCCCACATTTTATTCCCTGTTGAAAGATAGTTTTATAGTAATGCTCAGACTAAGATTTTGTATTGATATCATAGACTGAAAAAGTGAAACTCACCACTGAAAATGAAGACCATGTCTTTTTCTGGATTCTCGTAGGCAGCATCCACTTTATTGGGCAGTGAGGGCCATGTGTTCTTGATCAGGGTCTGCTCTGGTTCAACAAACTGAGGGTGGATTCGCCAATAGAATCTGAAACAATGTCAGTGAATGCACATTAACAACAAAAAATGAACTGTATTCTGAGCTGTAGATATTTTCTTAGTAATATTACAGAGAGGAAAAATGTCATACTTTATCAAATTAAAGAGGCATATTATTTGCTGCTTTGTAAAAATCTACTCTAGTTAATAAAAATAAATACATATATTTTGGATTTTTTTTAGTGTTTGCACCTGTCTTTAAAAATAATGGTCTCTCCTCTCAGTTCAGTGACAGCATCAAAACTCAATGTGGGGTCACACTTCTGTGGGGCATCAGGCTTTGGCTTCACTTTTTTATGATCTGGGTTTGGTCCTGTGTGATATAACAGTAATAATCACAATAACCTCATTCTGTTACAACCAAATGTTGCTCAAAATAACACAAAATTATGTTTTTTTGTTGTTTTTTTACCATAGAGTTCTTGAATGCCCTCGATATCATCTTCAGTGAGGGGGTAGCCTTCCTCATAGGAGTACACAGGGTACATTAGGGCACCTGGGTCATTGGAGTGGGACATGCCCAGTGCATGGCCCAACTCATGAGCAGCCACTATAAACAGGTTGTAAGCTGGACAAAGAAACAGCAATTTAAAATAAATACAAAGTGGAATGAAGCAGGAGGGGAAAATACTCAAAAATGCTTTCGCCAAAGGTTATAATTTAATTTAGAACACATTCATTTATACCGTATTTGTGTGTATATACTTATATGGATCAATCTGGATTAAAATAAATTGAATAAACAATCTATTGATGTGTGGTACAAATGTTGCTCCAAATGTTCTTCTGAATATATTTGGAAGACACGGGAGAAAAAAAAGTACATTTGCTGTTTTCAAAAATAGGGATTATGGCAGAATTCTGTTCAAATATTGTGCAATTCATAATCTACCCCTATATACATGAGAAAGAAACATAACTTCTATCTAGTGTGTGTACTTTGCTCACCACTTGAGTCCTTGGTCCAGTGTTCGTCTTCATCAAAGTGCGTGTCTCCCCCCATGCCAGGTCCAGGAGGGTAGGCATGAGCCAGGAGCCCATTAGGCCCGTCAAAAGGATTGTAGTCTCCATGTTCTGCAGACAAAGAAGCCAGACAACCAGCATGATTGTGTGTCATTACAATGTCTATTCAAACCATGTTATTATTCCCTTCAACAAGGCACCAGCATGTAAACTGCCAGGCATTTTAAAAGCAGAGTATCATGGCTAAAACAACAAGAAAATTAGACCTTTGCTCCCAAAGCTGATCATGATGTCCGCAATGCCCTCCTTCAGTTTCTTAAAGGTCAAAGGGGTAACCTTGGCCCAAACGTTGAATGCACTTCGAATGGCTCTATCCACGTCTGCCTTTTTTAGGTCAGGCGTGTAATTCACAATCCTAACCACCAGGAGGCATAAGATAACATTACTTCATGACCACAAACATAACTGTATGCTGTATGCATTGTATGCAAATGTTATAAATACCTGAATGTGAGGTTGTTGTTTTGCCATTTCAATTTTCGGGGAAAGTGGTTGTACTCTCCAATATCTGGCACTCCACATCTGGGCTGCTGCATCAAGTCAAGAGTGTTTTCGTCCAGATTCCCCGTAACCTGAAAAAATACCACATACACTCTGTAAAGTAAATCTATTTTAATATGATTCCATTATTGTGAAATGAACATTGTGGAACTTTACAAATTGCTTGACCTTGGTAACTAATGTAGACTAAGTGGTAAAGTTAGTATTAGCAGCAGTTGTGATAATTAATATAGATATATTAGCTGAAGTTGTATCAATTTTAGTACTACTGTCCCTGTTGTGAGAGACAAGTGATAAGGAAAGGTAGAAGCATTACAGTAATGTTTGCCCTGTAAAATTGGTGGTTAATTTTAGAGTTTTAAACTTTAGCATACATTGTGGCATTGTTTTGTCTCATAATGGTCACCTTATTCAATTCAAACACAACATTTTAATTCTCTGTTTAGTCTCCATATGCATATATTATAAAAGAAAAAAAGAACTTACCTTAAGTTTGAAAAATTCCTGCATCTCTTTGAGTTTGTCCTGAAATGCATCGAGAGAGCCCTTCCTTCCCTTGAGTCCAGCTGGGAGTCCATAAAACCGGTTCAGATATCTCTATTTTGACAAAAAAGCAAACAAAAAACATTATAATTCTTTACATTTGGTGAACTTGTGTAGAGGAATAAAATATTTCTTACCTCTGCCAGTCGCACATTATCTGGGTTTCCATGAGGCAGAGGTCCAGCTGAACAGTGAGCCACCGTCCCTATTAGCAGAAGCAACAGTGTTAAACCCGTCATTGTTGCTTGTGTCTTGTCCAAAACATTCATTGGGGCCAAGCGTGTCTGAGTGGTATTTATAGTACTGCTTTAGCTTGGTCCTCTTTTTTCAGTCATTCTTTGTGATTCATGTAAAAGCACCTAATGTAGCCACCTCCTCCTCCCAGGGGCAAAAAATGTGCTTATATGTAAAAAGAGAATAGCCTGGACTGGCCTGCTCTGACCCCACTTAAGCAGCAATGACAACATTACTAAACCTAGAGGCTATATTTTTCATTATGAAGGAAATTTGGAAATAGAATCATGCTGTATTTGTTCCAATGAAACATCGTTTGTCACTTCTTGCAAGCTAAAACAGCGTCCTTTTTACCAAAAATCGCAAAACATGCTGAATCAATGAATAGGTTAGTGTTACTGGATTTTCCCCCCTTTGGGTGCAGAACATGAATCAGAATTAGCTGTGTAAGTCTAGTCAAATATTTACTTTTCATCCTTAGCAAACACAACAAGTATATAAACTTCTTTATACAGTCTATGATTTCACAAAAACTAGCCCTGAAACTAGCTCACTGTTTGATCAAATGACTGTCTGTATATATAATCATTACAACCATGGCAATGCACTGAAAAATTGGTCTGAGAGGGGTTGCTCGAATTGCAAACATAAATTTGACAACCATAACATGACTTTTTTATGATTCTCTGTCCAGCATGTGGTTGATGTTAGAACTGCATGTTGTATTATTTGAAATTAGGGTTAATATAATGCTTATTTCAATTAAACAAATTGTTAGAATCACTGCCCATCTTTAAGAGTGTGACAGTTGTACCAAGATTTGAATGTGTTGCTTCAATCAAATAGTGGTAGCCAGAGCACAACTGTAGCTTTGGGCAAGTCAATGAATGTTGTAGTTGATGTTAGTCATTTTTTGCAGCATTCTGACCGTGAGGTTATCAGTTACAATAAAAACACTAAAACAACATAAAGTCTCTGTATCTTTCAGAAAAAGGATGATATTTGAGAACCAACAAAACACAGATCACAGATGAACAAAGTAAGTAAACCAACTAAAATGATTTTAACAGAAAATATCCTTCCTATTGAACATTTATCATGTGCTTCTACAGGGTGATGTGGCAGTAGTAGGACTTACGTTTTGAGGAAGAAAGCAGCACATGGTAAGTATTGTTTCTGCATGTACATGTTCATGTGATTCTGTTCTCGTCCATTATTGTATTAGAGAGTAATAAGTGCTTTAAGAATATTTAAACATGTACAACACAGAGTAGATCATCATAATGTAATCATCATGTGTTATTCCTGTGTCCACAGGCAGAGACCAGATCTCCTTCATTGGAATAATTCCTCACACTGTCCGACTCCAAACAGGCTGTGTCACTGTATCTGTACTCCCTCTGGGTTTGATTCTGCTCAATACAGAACTGTGGAAAACTAAAGACTGTTTTTGTATTATTTTACTTAAAATCCCTTTAAGGTCATATGACTTTGCATGTTAAAGTTGTGTTGAATTAAATAATATAAAAATAAAACAATCACAAAGGTGAATTTTCATGATAAATAATGTATTCAACATGATTTGATCATCAACATGAAAAAATTTTGTTCAAGTTCTGAGAAAAACAGAAAATGGCCAAGGTGATGTACAATATAGACACAGGATTGATATATAATCTTGATGAAGTACTGCCAAACACACCTCATCAAACAACAGTTAAACTTTTCTTTGTGATTTTGTAAAATTCAGAAACAAACCACTTTGCAGTAGCATCACTCAATACGAGCATTCATGGTCCTATTTAGGAGTTTGATTTTCAACAAAAATGATGAGCGTGATTAACTGAAAAACTGCTGAACTGATGAAAGTCTAACTGCTAGTTAGCTTGTGACTGTAATTTTATGTGTGAGACACTTGTTTGACAGCACAGATCATCTCACCTGCTGTATTTCCAGCTAAGTCAGTCCTTTATGGTCAGATTGTGTTAAAATAAAGCACAGATTAAAGTTTTAAAAGTCTCAGACTATATAGCTATCAGCTATCAGCTGCAACGTATCAATAGTGAAATATATATTTTTATTACTATTATTTACTATTTGATTTATTCAAATATAGAATAATTAATAGAATCTAGGAATGATATAATCTAGTGGTAACCTTCTCCTGTTCTGTTTCAGATGTACCACATGACGATCTGTTCACTTTTACTTTTACTTTGGCACACTTACTAAACAGTTGCGCGGACATATTTCTCTTCAAAATTTTACACTAAACAGATGCTCTTCTTTCAACAGAGCAACTAACAAACTTAACTCTGTAACTGAATTGAATTCTCTGAGCTCTTCTGAGCCACTTTGTTCTGTACAGGATGGACCACAACATATTGGGGCTTCATCTGCACCAACGGTGGAGGATGATCTTGGGAGGAAGTATCAAAGTACAGCTAAAAGGTGAAATTCAGACAGAAAACATACTTGAAGAAGTTAACACTCACAGACGTCCCCTTAAACACACCCCTGCACCCCACAAATCTTCAAAATCAAAATCACTACATTTCAAGGTTTATCTCAAAATCTTTGTGAAATACTTTTGCTTTTCTGGTACTGGTACTTTAATAGTTTTATTATTATTATTATTTTTTTTTTTTTATGTGATATTTTTACTTTTACTTGAGTATTTTTCTCCAGTATCTATTATTATACTTAAATAACAAAATTGAATACTTCTTGCACAACTGGCTCTTACATAAGGACATTGTTCAATTCCTGGAGGCTACTTGAGCACTACTACGTGTGGTATAAGTGTTGTCATATTCTATTGAACAAGAGGTAGACTACAGGCCTGGACATGCAGCTGATTAGCCATGTCTCCAACACGTTTGGGAAGTAGAAGATCATCATTATCTCACATGCATTCTTGCTTAACCCCCACCTGACCACTGTAGGGCCGTAAATGGGTCAGTAGTGCATATTTCCTGGATCAAATGTTTACAATTATATTTAGACACACTGCCTGGGACCACTAGACTAGACCTCTGTCACTGAATGATTTGACAGCATGGGTCACAATTCCTGTTATCATGAGCTGGGAATTTTCTGGTAATGACAGTGTCCCGGTCAGGGGCTGAGGTAAAGCTATGAGTGAAAAAAATAGGCTGTCAACTGTCAACAAGGCAATTTTTGTGGTGTTAAATTGCAATAATAAAAAAATGTGTTTTGCCTGAGTGATGCTGAATTTTTCCAAGTGTGTGCAGTGATAGAATAACAATGATAGTGCTAGTTTTACATTTTTGTGCATTATCCAAAGACTAAGTGCACGTTAGCAAAATTTCTCTTGGGTGACTTGTTTCTTGGTATATTAAAATAATAATCCATTCTAGGTTCCATCTCACATACTCACATGGACACATACATGTCCTTGTCTTAATCACTACTAAACAAGACTCAAGGGGAGTATTACTTATTACTGATAATATTAATGCTGTCATGTTGTTGAATATTTTGAAACAATTATGAAGTTACAGGAGCATGGCACAAAACCCACTGAAGATGCTCCTCTGATCTGTCTGTCAAGAAGAAGATGGATCTATAGCAAGGACTCATTTAGTCACCTATATGTTTATGATAGTATAAGACAAAGTCGTATTTGTTAAAGCATTTTTGTTTAGCTTGTTTTTCTCAATATTGGGATTTATACTACAGAACAGAACTATTGAAACAGGTGTTAACATGTGCATGTCACAAAATATCACACAGGTTCAAGTATAATCTGCATTTACAGTATCTTATTTCAGATTACACAGGTCAAGTTACTCAGGTATTTTCTTACATGAATGCATGAAATATTATGTTTGAATATGTGTGGATACAAATGATCATTTCATTACTGAAATAAAGTGATCAAATTTGGTTTTATGATCATGCTTAATAACAAACTCTAGTACTTGTAATGGTTCATTGACATTACATAAATGAAGTGAATATAAATACTAGTAAAAATCATCAATAAGACAATCTGAGCCAGCCATGGTTAAGAATAATTCCTATTTGCACATGACAAATAACTAGAATGGATAGGTACTATGATGGTGGAAAAAATAGAATATCTCATAAACAAGTCTTAAAACAAGTGTTTAGTATGAGTGCAATTGAGAAGTCTTTTAACACAGTCATTTCATCATTTAAAATGTAGCTGGTAAATCATTTTATTATTTGCACCATGTTATAAACAAAGTGCAAAATCACACAGATAAAGTCAGCAGCAGTACACATTCTATTCAAACTAACCGTGCAACAAATCACCTCCAAACAAGCGTCTATGTCTGTTTATGATCCATTTATTTCCAAAGAGATGATACGGTAGGAAGGTAGGTTGATACGCAACTAAAACTAAACATACACATGATTTGAGTTAACTTAAAAAAAATAATTGATTTAGCCTTCCATCTGCCATCATTAAAATAGCCACACAAATAGCAACCGGATGCTTATAACTCAAGTTCTGGTCAAGAATCCAGAAGTTAGCATTTTACTGTGCACCTAGTCTGTTCACTCCATACTTGGTGATGGTAAGATACTATTGTAACCACAGCTGCCCTGGGACAGAGTAAGAGAAGCAAGGCTGCCAATCTTTGCCATCGGCCCCTTTGGCCATTGCCAACATTCATTCACACACAACAATCATACTAGGCAATGTGGGTGGAGTGTCTTCCCTAAGGTCAAAACAAACTAACCCTAACCATTGTGGCATCTGGTCAAGCCCAGCCCTGTTTAGCTTCTGACAAGGTTTTGACAAAGAGGTTTGCTTACATAGAAACATGAGTAATTTCGGTGTATTCCCTCATTTGTCCAGGAATGGTCCTAAATTGGAAAGGTTTCAAATTAGTCATCAGGTCACTTTTTTTTTAACCTGTTACCTAAATTACCTATTCCTATGGCAACCTGGACATCATTTTCAATCAGAATGAAATTCTAACAACTCTAGTGTGGGTAAAAATAATAACATGTATAAATTCCTGTCTTCTAGAGAAAAGAATAGACTGATAATGGCCCCAAAAAGCAAAG